GTGTAGATGCTTAAAAGCACGGAGTTGCTGCCATGTGATTGTCTGATTAGCTCCTTGCATTAAGCACTGAGCAGACAGGCTAGATAAAGTGTCCGATGAGGATAGAGCAAGGTTCACATAGTTTTGTTTCCATTAGTTTTGCACAATATGCAGACATGCTGTAAGTGTCCCAAATAATTCAAAGTCATTCTCTCTCCTTTGCTCGTTTCCTCTCTTTCTGGTTTAGGCAACTGTTTTTTTTCTTTTCCTCTTTCTGTGTCTCCCACCGTCTCAATCTGTTTCTCACTGTGAGGGAATAGGGTGTCTGTCACAAACACTGAGGCGCAAAAAGCCTCATCACACTCGTGTGATTCTACTCTCTCTCTTTCTCTATGAACCATAATTCTGAGATTACTTTAATTATTTAACCTTCTCTTGAACACACACACACATACACACACACACACATTACACAGACAGGTTTACTGACTTATTCATGCATGGGTTTATTTGGGGGCAGAGATCCTGTCTGCCAGCCTGACAGACACCCTGAACCATGGAGACTCCTGTCCTCATCTTTGTCCACTCCCTCCCCACACACACACACACACCACCACCACCACCCCCCCTCCAACACATACACACACACACACATGCACACACACCTAACCAAGTCCTCCAATGTCTGACTTGAGTCCACCCTATCGTTAACAGATGAGGTCCTCAACTAGAGTTCAATCTAGCTTCTCTATCATAGTTTTCACTCTTTTTTATTTTATTTAATTTTCCTCTTGCTTTCCATTTTAAATGGAGAGATGGGGAAGGTATGCCCACATTTCTCAGAACAAAGACAGCCCAATTAAGTTAGTTGAGTTAAAGTTTGTGTGACAGAGAGGGATCAGAAGCCATGGAGGAAAAGTAACAATCGAGAGAATGTTGAGGATAGGAGAAAGAGAGACAGTCTAACAAACTGGGAAAAGAAGGAGTGAAGAAGAAGAAGAGGGGGGAAACAGGAGCCTGAGTCACTTTGTTCCAGAAGCAGGTCAACTTCATTTTTATCTCCTCAATGGGAGAATATGAATAATTAATAACTGCTTCAGCCATACCCTTCAGAGGCCTATGGTAAAACGTAAAGTCTAATGAGATGTTGCTCATGAATTGTAAATGTGGATGCTGGAATGTTTTTTTTTTCTTCGTCTGACTGTGTGTGTCTGTGTGTTTGTGAGTGAATAAGGATTGGGTTAGTCTGTTACAGACGGGTGGGGTGAAGAACAGCTTGCAGCCGTTTTAAACTGTAGACGAAAAACTTCATTAGAAGCGTCAAGTCCATCCTGCAGCACATGGAAGCACAGCAGAGATCCAAAAGTTTGTACAAAGCTCTCAACCATCCTAACACACCAATGACCACCACACCTGCTAACTGAAGCAAAATAGAAATGGATGCTGTTTTATATTTATCTTTTGTAACAGCTTCATCTTTTATTCATCAATTCAAATGACAATAGCTGTTTCCTGTATATACTGCAGCTCCATCGACATCCATCCATTTTCTTTACTCACTTTTTCTTTTAAGGTGACATCTAGGCTAGTGCCTATTTTAATTGGTCATTGTACAGGGGAGGGGTACACAAGTACATCACAGGGTCACTTAGGGCCCCCACATACTCGAGCATACTGTGCGTAATCTGTGAGCTGCACGGACTCTGTGGGTACTGTCCGCAGACGGTTGAGACTTCTTACTCGAGCGTACAGATTGCCTAAAATTCTCTCGTGACAAATTCCTTAATTTCTCACAATTTCAGTCATGGCATCAATGGACGAGGAGGAAGAGCTCTCTTTCCTCTTAGCTTTAAAATAATTATACATATAAAAATATATAGAAAAGAAGTTGAGATAGTCTTAAAACAAACAAAAGAAAAGAAGGTGGTAAATAAGGCCATTAAACCAGACCAGGGATGAAGAAGGGAAATTTAATACACTGATGAAGGGCATGAAGACGAACAGCGAGAAACACTTTTGAATATTTTCGAATGGATTCTAGCAAGTTCAATGAGCTAGTTGGGTGCTTTACCACCAGGGCAGCCACCGCACACTAGTCAGAGCTGCACAGAGAGCGGCAGTCATGCTGCGCATCATAAAGAAATCATTCAGTGGTTTTTGCACAATAATTTTCATGTCATATGACCCACTGACCCAAAACTTATATTAAGTTACTAGACCTGACAGACGAGGCACCCTCATTTATTTCTCATTTTAAAAGATTTTCTAATTTTACAAAATTCATTTGTTCAAAAATCATGGTTTTCGCTCAATAAATAATTAGAAAAATTTTTAAAATGAGAAATAAATGATGGTGTCTTGTGTGTCAGTCTATTAGAGTAGTTTAACATTTGTTTTGTGTCAGTGGGTCAAATGATGTAAAATATATTAATTTTTGTTTCTGAAGAGTGTTTGGTTCAGTAATTTGTTGACGGTCCCTAAGTGAACCATTACGTTTCGGAGGAGGGGCCGACTGAACACAGTTGACCAACATCAGACTGTCTGTTTCGGATCAAACGCGAGGAACACACCTGTGCGGCCGTGACTGGTTCTGAATGAGACTTTACAGCAGACAGCCGCTCCCCTCTCTTCCAGGTACTGTGTACCGGCGCAGAATCTTTTAGTGGTATGCAATACCAGACTGTACCGGCTTACTTTCACACCTGGTTGAGACGTTGCGTTCTGTTGTCTGTATTGTTCTGTTGGTACAGAATCACGTGGGAGTGAAAGGGGGTGGATGTGACTGCGGTAACAAAAACATGTATTTAGCAATGAGTCACGTTATCGCTTGGATTTGAATCAGTACATTTTGCATCCAATAAAAACAAAGATGTTGACAAATAAACTGGACAATATTATGGCATTTTAGTGATATTTCCACAGTTGTGATCTTGACTGGTCTTGAAATAAAATCCCGAGTCCTCAATGTCCGAGACCGCGACAAGACCGAGACCAAAAGTGGTTGAGTCCGAGACAAGCCCAAGACCCTCAAAAAGTGATCTTGAAACCGGTCTCAAGACCAAGACCGGTCTCGAGTACTACAACACTAGTAGTGACTGAAAAGAACAAGATTGCGGATACATTCGGTCAAAATGAGTGTTCTCTGAAGGATTGCTTGACCCTCAGAGATGTGGTACAGTTGTTCAGGAGAGATTCAGAGTAATGCTCCTGCTCCTCAACATCTAGAAGAGCCAGTTGAGGTGGTCTGGGCATCTGGTAAGGACACTCCCTGGATGCCTCCCTAGGGAGGTTTTCTGGGCAAGTTTGACTAGAAAGTTAAGCCCCAGGACACTCTGGAGAGACTATGACAAACTAGAAAAGGTGGCTGGGAAAAGAGATGTCTGGGCCTCCCTGCTTAAGCTGCTGCCCCTGTGACACAACCATGCAACAAGTGGAAGATAAAGGAAGAATGGATGCATGGATCAAGACCAAATCTAGACGATTTCTATGTGAAGCTTCAGCTACCCATGATGCTCACAATGGTGACAAAATGATGTTCATAACCAAAAGAAAACTGGTTGCTACATCCACCAAATCACTTTATTTTAATGCAATGTTAATTTTCATGACTTTTAGCATAAACTGAAAACAACTTGGCACCTTGGCAGCACAACAGCTCAGTGGTTAGCACTGTTGCCTCACAGCAAGAAGGTCCTCGGTTCGATCCTCGGTTGGACCTGGGGTCTTTCTGTGTGGAGTTTGCATGTTCTTCTCATGCTAGTGTGTGTTTTCTCCGGGTACTCTGGTTTCCTCCCACAGACCAAAAACATGCATGCTAGGCTGTCTTCAAGCCCAGGCCTCCATTGCAAAAGAGATCTATGATCTCAATGGGATTTGCCTGGTTAAATAAAGGTTAAATTAAAAAAAATAAAAACTGAGATATTATATCTGTAGCTCACATAAAAGTAAAAGCTTAGATTGGTGATTGTGAAAAGTACCATAAAAAATGTTCATGGTTTAAAAAAATAGGACATGCTCAATTCAAGCTCCTCCTTGAATTGCCATCTTATCGTGGTGGAGGAGTTTGTGCACCTGAATGATCGATACTAGGAGCTATGTTGTCTGGGATAATTGCCCCTGGTAGAGTCTTACAAGGCAGATTGGTTCTAGACGACAGGCCAGACAAAAAGCAATTCAGAAGACTTATATGGATGAACAAGAACAAGGAGCTCAGTGTCCCTTGCTGGGACATGGGCTACCAGGGCCCCATTCTGGAGCCAGACCTGGGGGAGGGGCTCATTGGTGAGTGCCTGGTGACTGAGTCTCTACCCATGGGGCCCGGTCAGGCTCAGCCAGAAGGAGCAACATGAGTTTGCCTTCCTGTGGGCTTACCATCTGCCAGAGGAGCCATACAAGTCAGGTGCATGATGGCATGGGCAGTGGCCAAAAGCAGCTTGGCGCTCTGTCCCTGGCTTACCAAAGCTGGCTCTTGGGACATGGAACATAACCTCTCTGGTGGAGAAGGAGCCTGAGCTTATGCATGAGGATGAGAGGTACGGACAAGATACAGTTGGGTTCACCTTGAAGTAGAGCATGGCTCTAGAACTAATCTCCTTGAGAGGGGCTGGACCTTATTACACTCTGGAGTTGCCCATGGTGAGAGATGTCGAGCAGGTGCGGGTCTACTTGTAGTCCCCCGACTTAGTGTCTATGTGTTGGAGTTTTCCCCGGTGGATGACAAGGTGGATAAGAGGGTGGCTTCCCTGTGCATTCGGTTGGAGGAACGGGCTCTGACTGTTGTTTGTGTTACTTGGACGGGTGTGACTGGGAGGAACAGCCTCACTGATCTGAACCCGAGTGGTGTTCTGTTGCTGGACTTCTGTGCTAGTCAGTTTGTCCATCATGAACACCATGTTCGAACATAAGGGTGTCCATAAGTGTACTTGGCACCAGGATGCTCTAGGTCATAGATCGATGATTGACTTTGTAGTCATGTCATCTGATTTGTGGTTGCTTGTTTTGGACACTCAGGTGCAGAGAGGAGTTGAGCTGTCAACTGATCACCACCTGGTAGTGAGTTGGGTCAGATGACAGGGGAAGATGCCAGAGAGACCTGGTAGACCAAATGTGTGTGAGGATAGGCTGGGAATGCCTGTCAGAAGAACCTGTCAGAAAGATCTTCAACTCACACCTCCAGGAAAGCTTTAACTGCATCCTAGCTGAGGCGGGGGACATTGAGTCCGAGTGGGCCATGTTCCGTACCTCACTTATCAAGGTCACTGCCTTGAGATGTGGCCGCAAGGTTGTCTGTGCTTCTCGTGGTGGCCATCCTCAAACTCGGTGGTGAACAGCTCAGGTTAGGGAGGTTTTCAAGCTGAAGGAGTCCTATCAGACCTTGTTGGTTGATGGGACTCGGGAGGCAGCTGATTACCAGAAGACCAAGCGATC